CAGGCGAACGCGTTCACACTTGAGCGATGTGATTGGTGTGCCCGATTCATCGAACGACGACCCAGCAAATGTCCTGGTTGTGTGACGATCGATTGACCAGCCAGTCAGGACTTCCCAGTCAGGTAGCGTGACACACGCTTGAAACCCAGTGGGCAACATTTTGGTTGCAGTTTTGGGGTTTTGCGGGATATTTTTTGTTCATAGTTCCATTGACGTTTCGACCACTTTTAGATGCTGGTTACAGGAAGCCAGGAGCAGAACACATGAGAACTACGTCTATGACTCCAGTCAGCGAAATAATTGAAGAGTTGGGAATTTTACTGGAGATTTCGTCTTGTAAGCATAGCTAATACAGGCTGAAATGCTCAAAAGCACTCTAGAGCGGTTTCATCCTTATTGGGAATCATCATCAGTGTGCAAATCATGAACCAGTGACCTCTCGGCTAGACATTTTAACACTTAGCTATCCGTCAACGATCAACGGTGGTTTCCAAATACCAGCTAGAGGGTCCCTGGATTCTTGTGAGACGTACACTGTCTATGATTCCCATCAGGAGTGAGACAGCTGTAGACTGCTTCTAGGCATTTCAGCTCCATTCATTTGGCCTCACTCAGAGGACAAAACCTCCGTTAAAGGCAATCTCTTAATGCAACTGGTGTACTTCAGGTTCATTCCCTTTCTACCAGTGTGTGTAAGCCTTTTGTAGTTGTATGATTTTTATAGGAGTTGACAAAATGTTTTGTAGATCGATAGACTGTTACACACACCGGTTTGGCTTCCTCTGTACACAGAATATTGTTCAGTTTGAATCACGAACCGTACAGTATTGAAGGAGGTATATGAAGAAGGATAAGAGGAAGGTGATATGAAGAGCTACTAGCGCAAAGAGAGCACAGGAAAGGATAATGGGTCACAACTTATGGACTACTTGTGCTCCATAGAGGACGACCTGAGAAACGAGAAACTTCAACCTCGTCAGACATTCCGTTCTGAATGGAAATAGCAAACGAAGCCAGTTATTTAGGGACTGGGCTAATTCAAACACTATTCTAAGACAAAGCATTCTCCACACAGATGACTGATGAACACTTGTGCATGCCAATCTCAAATTTCCAAAGTTCAGAATGATATTGAGGAATACAGGCAACGCATGAACCTGATCCGACTTTTGCAATATTCAGCGCTTCAGGAAAAGCCAACAGTGGGTTCAAGCAGAGCATAAGGTTGAGGGAAACTCGGGGACTGCGCTAACTGATGAAACCCCAAGATGAGCGAAACCGGTCGTGGGCTGTCGATGGATTTTAAGCAACCTTATGAGTAGTACATTACAAATATACATGTATCGCGATATTTCAAATATCGTAGCGACTAAAACAGGGGGCGGCCTGGTGCAGCACATTCAGTTGCCTGAGAACATGATAAACGAGAGATTCAGCTGGGTTTCAGACGAGTCTCTCGAAAGAACCAAATTGGTTTGCAAATGAGTGTATATTCGCTAATTTCGTGCAATTTGGTTTCAAGTAGAACATAAGGTTGACGGGAACCCGGGGACTGCGCCTACCTGATGAGCCCCAAGAAGGGCAAAACCGGTCGTGGGCTGTCGAAGAGTTTTCAGCACCCCTGTGAGTATTTTCCCTCATGAAAACAGTGGTGATCTGTTTTATGTTGTAACCACATTACGAACGGTTGAACTATTTATCTGGTAGCCCAAACTGTTCAAGTGGTTGGTTGTGAGACACGGTGTACTCCAGTGCGACACAGACGTCAGGCTGGGTCGATAAATCTTGAGGATACACGGAAACCTGATTTTTTCACAAGCGCCTTGAATCTGATTCATGCTCTCGCTAAGCAGACCCTAGAACTGTTTCAGGAGAAGGGATAAATTGTTCGTATTGAGCTAGGGTATGTTCCTGCACTACAACCCACCAAGTCGATGGAACACTGATGGAGCAAATCACGTACAGGTCTAGTTGAGCTATGTTCTTATCATTACTTATATGATTCAGTAAACAAAAGTAAATGTACTTCTTACACCTCATTTCCTGAAAACAAAATCGGCCAGTAGCCGATTTGTAGGCGTAGGTGTGGGGTTCGAATCTTGGTCATCGGAATGCTAATCCACGATCCTATCCACAGGGCCATTCGGGCGGTGAGTGCGGCTTTAGCATTGATTGAAATAGTTTCATCAATTTAGGAGTGTTAAAAGGCTGATTAACCTTGTAATCGTCAACCGTGCACATCTTACGAAGCTACAGTGAGTTCCGAACTCGAGACTCTATTAGTTGAACTACTAACTGTTCGACTTCGAGCGGTTGGTTAGCTGTCAGATAGGCATGACGCCACCATCCTTCACATGGTGACCCATTCCGTCCCAGTTGAGTGACAAACGTGTGCCGGGTTTACCCGAAGATTTGATTAAGCTAGGAGATAGCATGCTGTCATCAACTGGACCTATGTCTGAGTTGGCAAGCGACGAAGAAAACACATTTGCTGGCCAAGTAGGGTTGTTATAGCCTACGTCACCGTACCATTCAAATAGAGTATATTAAATCAAAGTTTTGTCGCGTTTATCATCGCTTCAGCATGCCAAACCTGAATGCTCGATTCAATTTCGAGCCATCGATTTCTGGTGCCATTCTATGATTATGCTCTGTTTCATGAAGTAAGTATTTCGCGCTGTTGAAACTCCAAATTGCGTGCTGATAGTTCACCGAATGTCTTGTAGATAAACTTTGAATTTTCGAAGTTTGCAGAATGCAACAGAAAGGGACCAAGCAGGTAAGTCCACATAGTTTCAGCAATGTGAATTGTTCTTATCTTGAGGCTGTCTGTAGCAGTGTAATATAAATCATCCTATTTTATTAAATTGACGAAGGCCAAACTAGTGGTGTGAGATTTCAAAATCTCATTCAAAATTTCAGAGTCCATTAATGATAAAACTAGGGTTACTCTGCAAAGGCGAAGGGGAAGTCTCCTCAGTAACGTGAGTCTTCCATCCGAGGCGGCACAGTTCGAGGAACCAGTCAAAAATTGACCACACAATGTAAATTGCGGAACTGACGGGGAAGTACTTTATGTGGTGTCCAAATGCGAGTTATCTACACTTCTGGCGGTCCACTCATGCCCGAATCGTACTAAATTCTACCACGTGTCTGAGGACCCCGGGTTGGGACCATACTGAGATCGGCGCTACTGATGATTCCACATCAGGATAAGACGGCTGTGCGGTGCCTTTCAGAGTAAGTCAACTTTCAGGAAAAACTGCATCAGTTGCAAACTTTTAAAGCTGCCCCACCCTAGCAGCATTCTGTAAGTAGCCCAGAGGTAGAATATATTGTTGGTAGTGTGAGGAGATTTGGGATTTTTGTGGAGATTTCGTCCTGTAAGTGAAGCCCGTAAGTGTGAGCCAAATCCCCTCGCTCTACCAACAATCTCTAAATAGCTCAGTGGAAGAATAAACTTCACTCGATGAATGAAACTTCCATCTGAGAAGTCGTAGCTCGAGGAGCCAGTAAACACGTGTGACCGCGTGATGTGGATCCCGTGATTGAAGGATGAGCGGCGCCATATCCTGTCTAAGTGCGAGTTAATTACACTGCTGATCAGCCGCCCGTGGCCGAACGGTTAAGTGTCCAAACTACTAGCCAGGAGGTCGCGGGTTCGAGACTCTCCGGAGTTTCGTGAGATGTGCACTGCTGATGATTTCACAATAAGGAAGAATATATTCAAAAGAGTGTTGGGTCTCAGCTAAGAACCCGTCACTCTAGAAGCCAGTCACCACATGACCAGTTGGTGTGAGTCCCATGATTGAAAGGTGCATGTCGCTGCATCCTGTCTAAGTGAGATTGAATCACACTGCTGCAGGATAAGTGACCAAACTATGCTAGATGAGAGGTCTGAAGACTCACAGAAGTTTCCCGAGATGCACACCGCTGATGATCCCCAATAAGAACCAATCTGATGTACAAATTTGCCTGGCCTTTAAGCATACATTAGCTTTTTCGTAGTACGCAGTCTTTATCGAAAATGCCGAAATCTCTCACCACAACACCATCAACATTGATGAACTAGTTGAGCACTTATTGAAAAAAAATAAGTGAAAAAAACACGATACAGTCGTGACTGTATCTTGGATTTCAGCCTCATCATGTTTGTGGTTAAATTTGCGCAAAACTACACGTTCAAAAGTTCATCTGGGTTTGTTCCAGTACTTACTGGTAAAAGAATTCATACCCGCGTAAAAATACATAAATACGATTTGGAGCGATCACGTGAAAGATTACAAGGTCATATACAGTTGGACTTCAAGGATAAAAGGCCAGTTTCATTCAGACGTGAAAAGATCAGCTCTCTACTAGATCAGGGATGGAAGCTTGAGTTGTAGAGTTGACTCCACGTCTTTCAAGTCACTGAACAGTCCTTGCTCCAGCACTCGCTCCAATCTACACGGTGCTCAAATGCAGTGCTACACTTGCACCCAAAGAAATCCACAATGTTTTCGTGCCATGCTTTCGTTACACCGAGGTGGTCCTTTGGACAATATTTAATTATGTAGTATCCACACAGTCCTTCCGAAGAATGGCGGTCAGAGAGAGACAGCTTCTTACTTCTTCAGCTTGCGGCTAGGAGCATGATTCAGACCGAATGTGAACTAGTATGATAGTACTGAGCTGGTAGTGGACGCTGGAACCGAACCATCTGATCAATGACTCCAGATGTCTTTGGTTTTATTCATGCTATGCATTAAGAGAAGATGGAATCCATGGGCCCTCCAGAAGGATGTTAAACGTACAGAGAAGACGAACACGACGTGGTAGAATGCTGAAATTCGTCAGTCGGAAAACGTACAACTTTCAACTGGACTCGGTTTAGGAACAACCGTTGGACAGAATAGTTCGCTATCTCAGGGTTAAAGTCTGATACATATGGACTGCTAGCAATTAGAAACCAGAGAAAAAATTTCATCAAAGGAACATAAAACCCTGAGTTTTCTTAAGACATGGTGCGCACACAGCCTGACCATGTTCACCCATTCAGAAGTAAAGTAAAAGTCCACAATGGTGGAGTAGTGGTAACACACTCGCCTCACAGGTCAGATGAGCGGATTCTGAACCCTGACGTAGCCTTTGGATATGCACCGCTGATGAGCTCTAATAAGAGCCACACGCGAGCCCAGTTCTTCCTCCCCCCTTCCCCGTTGGTGCAGACTCACCAGAATGTTTGAGCCGGGACAGGAGGACGGTCTTTCAAACGACAGTCACGTGAGTATGCATTCTACAAAATCACGCAGCCACCAACGCCTTAAAGTAATAACTCGAAAATATAATATAATCGAGGTTGCAAGACGGTGCATAGAAAGTGGTTGAGTTTGAGAACGCAAGCGGGAAAATTCACCTGTGGTTTGGACAGGCTAATGTAACTTCATTTGGGCAGCCCCAATAGCGTATTTTAGTCGACTTTAATAGGTCGTGTCTCAGAAGAGGTGAGAAACTCTGCAGCTAGTGAGCTTTTGGGTGATAATATCGTCTACAAGTACCGGGGTGCAGACATTTTGGAATAAAAGGGGCTTGGATGCAAAGAAGAAAAATTTCAAATAACTGTGAAGTACATTCTGCCTTATGGTGTCAACGGAGATACGGGTTTGGCGAATGTCTGTAGTGGAAACTTCCTTGGGATTGATGGGTTAACAGAAAGTGAGATGGAGACAAAATCTTCGCCCGATATTTACTGTGGTTTGAATTAGGTATCTTTCTGTCAAAATAGTGAGAAATGGCAGGAAAGAGAAACTAGGGCTCTTGAAAGACCCAGGAAGAGCCGAGTTCCAACGTATGCGCAAGACATCAATAGTACGGAACGTGACAGTTAGCTGAGGAATAAATATGCAAACTTACGGACCGGAACCAACCCGTGCATCTCGACTGCCTCTTTCTAGGCTTGGGCTCTGAGCCCTTAGGCTTACTGAGGGTGACAGGGCAGTTAGATACCGAGAGGGTGATACAGCTGAACGTTATACTTATTATAGTATTATATTATTATAGTTCACACAAAAACTGCTACCGGTTTCGTCCCATTCGAGACTCCTAATTTTGGCGTTATCATTGAAATCTGAGAAAGTCTGCCTCTGACCCAAGCAGAAGGTTTTATGAAAAATTACTGCTGAGTCTGTTTGCCTCATGAAAGATCTGGAGCCGAAAACTCGATTGGTAACCTCGTAGCCACCAGCATGGACCATGGATAACCATCGAGCTTTAGACGGTGCAAAACTTGTAGTGAGGTCTGTGGGTTTTGAGTAGGCACCACATACTGTGTGTTTCAAGCCAAGGAAATTTTACCTGGTAACTTTGTCTTGTCCTGCACATCCTGCGAGTATCCAAATACTACTAACTACGGGAGGTCCTGTAGCGTGGGACGTCAGGAAGCCAGCGGTATTCGACGTTCGAGAGGATGTAGCGACGGCACACGTCAGTTCTGAAATGTGCAGATATAGGGACTGGTATTAATGAATCCACACAGTATACACAGCACACATGCGCACAGGTCGGGTGGTACAGGGAAGAAGACCGGAGTGTAGCAACAACGCACGTGTATTAACCCGACCCGAAACCGGAAGTCGGGGGTCGGTCAAGGTCAGTAAGGGTGGGGTTGTACAAGCGGCTATTCTTTCCTGTCCGGGGTTCGTGGTGGCTCGGCCACGGGAACTNATCAGGGGGTGTACAAGAGGGTTACTCTTTCCTGCCCGGGGCTCGTGGTGGCTCGTTCGTGGTACCTGCAATAGGGAGAGAGAGAGGGAGAGGCACGTATAAGGTCATATGAGAGACGTGCAAACAGATACAGTCGAGTTTCAAATGCGTTACAGTCCCATCGAAATTCAAATTCCAGCAAGTCCTGCAGGCCTGCTGGCTCAAAAACGAGTGAGAGGGTTGATCGTCTGTTGGCTCAAAAACGAGTGAGATGGTTGATGGTCTTGGAAAATGACCGAGAATAGGACTACCGAGAAGTCACTTAGTCGGAATTCGCCCTTAAACAGTATCCTGTAGGCTGATGTTTAAACCGCTGCTTCCGTTTAAGCAACGTTCGGATACAGACGTTATTAAACCACTTAATGAAAGGCAGTTTGCCAAACGTGCAATACGGAGCCCACTGTCTCGAAAGATCTCAGTAACATCTTTGATTATATTGAAAACATCACTTGAACTTGTAATGAACTAAAGACAAAAGACCAGTCGGTTGAAGAGAAAGCTGTAAAAATGCAATGGGACGGTGGGTTGGGGGCAATGTACAGAACCGATCAGATGCGTGCATTCAGACAATGATCGAACGAAACAATCAGGGGATGAGTGAGCTAATCGAATTACTCATCATGGGTAGCTTGGACCGGAACAATCGATATGCATTTGAAGTTGGAAAAAACATCTTGGAATAATGGCGAAGCAGCCCCCTCTGGTTAGCTGGGGCTGCCAAATGAATAAATCACTCGGTGGAGTGATTGTTGAAGTCACTGAGAGCAGGTTAGGATTTTAGGAAAGTTTTGTAGCTGGTATCGGGGTTCATCGGCGCTGTTAGGGGAAATAGAAACACGAAAGTTGCTCGCCAGCTTTCAAAAGGCTACTTCTGAACCCAAAAATTGATATGCTGGCTTGGTGGTGTACATGTGGCAACACAGATAAGGCAAAATGGTGTATAAGCACGAAACGTAACTTTTACGCCGTAGAAGCGTTGCAGTCTGAGTGTCAAAATGTGTATGGGAACAGTGACCATTCTGTGTTGTTCACTGGCATTTTAAAAACCCGCCGCATCGATCGCCAAACGCATTCTATCCTTCGAATACAGAGTTGACTCCAACACAGCGAAGTGCCGACATCTCACAGCTTTTGTCTTCTTACTGTAGAATTTGTTTCTGAACGCACATTGAGAAAATATCAGGCAAACACTAACAGTTGAAGTGAGATATTGAGTTGCCACGCTATCATCATGATAGAAGCAGGCGAACTCTGCGAGCAGTCGTGTCAACCTCCAGAGTGGAAAGTACAACTAACCCATTCACTGTTAGAGGCAACTGCATAAGCGCGAGTTCACCAAGTCTTCCCGGACAATGCTGTGTTCAAATGTCTGAGCGAAATTTACGAGCGACTAATTCACGTGATGTTAATGGGATTTCGAGACAGAAGAGCTATCGTCCTGTGAAATGTGCGTGCAGTCATTTTAGACCGTACAGTTGCGTTGGGCTTGAACAATCACTTTGTGCATTTACCCTTGTCCTTTCCTGTCTGTTCTTTGCCTGGACACGCAACAAACGCTCAAATGAGCGCCTCTTGTGCCCGTCTGATCCAAGCATGCACAGTTAGGCTGTTGAAACATACGCCTGTTAAAGTTCTCCTTGAAAAGGAGTGAACGTTTGTATTTTTCACACGCAACAAACGCTCAAATGAGCGCCTCCTGTGCCCGTCTGATCCAAGCATGCACATTTACGCCGTTGAAACATACGACTGTTAAAATTCTCCTTGAAAAGGAGTGAACGTTTATATTTTTTAAGAAGAAAACTAAGGATTGGTGCATCAAATTCATTACCTGTGTTCGCCTGAAACACTCAGCATAGTCCAACTAGTTAATTCCACTCTCAGTGCAGTAGTTCAGCTGCAGCGCCCTGTCGGTGCGCAACTGCCATGCTACCCGAAAGAAGCACGAGGGCTGAGATACTGTGGGGCTGCCGAAGCCTAGACAGGGGAAGTCGAGAGTTAGAGATCGGGTTCGAACGACGGACCTTCCGGTTGGTAAATTCGTGCTCTAACCACCGAGTCACCTCGTTCCCCTGCTCTCTCAGTTCCTACCATGAACTGCTTCCGCCAGTTCATAGCTGTGCTACCCGATTTTTATTTCATAACTCGGTCTACAGATCAGATACTCGATAATTTGCTTTAATGGGAGACTCAAATGAATCCCAGCTGGACCTTTCGTCTACAGTGTTCTTTAGTTAAATGCGCTGAATAGAAGCCGCGTCATGCTTCATTTGGACCATACTTGAGGCATCTCAGCATATTTGCTTACAGGAAATTACTCACAAAGTTGTTTGGAGTTCTTCGACAGCCACTGACCGATTTCACCCTTCATTACAGGTAGGAGATTCAGCTAGGTCTGAGGTGAACCTCTCGTGCAAATAAAGTTGGTATGCAAATGAGCGTTCATTTCGAGTTTCTTCCAGTTTTGCTTCAAGTAGAACATAAGGTTGTCGGAAACTCGGAGACTACACCGACTGGCTGAGCCTCAACGAAGGCGAAATCTGTCTTGTGGGTTGTTGAAGAGTTTTCAACATATTTGGTTTCCTAGCTAACTTGCATAGTCTGGTGATTGACTTGAGAACAACCAGTTCTTTATGGCTGCGAAACGCTCACACCGTCTCACCATCTTGCTAGCGAAGACGAATATCTAATTAAGACACTTAATGAGCATGATTCAGAAAAATTATTAAAACTAAGCTTTCGTTAAAATCTTGGAACTTAGGCCCTGAAAGGAGAAAAACGGATACAAAAAATTTGCCACACAAATGGCAGCCAGTTAGTCTTCCAATTATTATTTAACTGGTTCCATTACGAGAACTATAGGGTACAGTGAGACTATAAACCCCGTTTTCCAACGGCTTTGTCTGTAGAGGCTTGTGGAATAAACCTGATGGAAACGGGAGTCTCTAGTAAAACTTTCGTTCATGATATTTGTCAACTGAACAGGCCAAACCCACGTGGTACATCACTTTTCAAACATCAGGCTAACTCAAACATCAGGAGATGTTTAGACAACTTTATTATTTGATATGACACTCCTCTCCCCTGTAAAATGGCCACTTTTTATATATAGTCTCTGTTCTCCATTCTAAAGCGATGTAGTGGACTGACAGTACCGATCTTAGATGAGGTTTTATCGATCATGCATTACACAGCATCACACTGCTTTCTGACGTGTTTGACAATCACTCAGTGCCCGCCCTGTGAACTTCACTCATTATTTTAGCTGACCAATCATCAGCGATCCCGATTGCGTTTGTTCACTGCCTTCTGAACTGCTTTGCACGAGTTAGGAATGATGAAAGTGTAGGAAACTCTCCCACCTCTCTGGTTTTCGATGTAACCCTTAATTTCGATTTCAAAACAAATCAGTCGGGGATTGCGTTTAAATTAAAATGTTACGAACTGATGGTTTTACATGTTGGTTTACGAAATGTAGCATATCCATTATTTATGTATCGTGAAACGTCCACTAGGTGTTGAAGCCTTACGCAAACATCATACATCATCCCGGCTCCTTCGTTCATATTTTATTGACATGTATTTCTGAACAACCATGCGCCATGCGAATTGAGTAAAATCAGTTTTCTGCGAAAACCGTGTGCTTTCCCTTTAACGTTTTTTTTTGGAAATTGGTTTAGCGAATAGTTTATTGAGTTGATTTGGTAGGGATTTGATTTTCAGAAGAGTTTAAGTTGTAATGATTTGGACTCAATCAACCACTTCGTAAATATGCAATTCATTTTCCGTTATTATGAAATTTTGAAATCCGAACGCATAAAACAGCGCACCAAAGAAGCTAAACGGGATTTGTATTTTTTTCTTATTTGAGGTGAAATAGGAAGTAAGCCTGGATTTAGGCTGAAATCATCGATATTTGGAAATCAGGTACGGTTTTCGCGAAATATACTCATGTGTCGCGACATTTCGAATATCGTACCAACCGAAACATGAGGCTGCCTCGTGCAGCACATTCAGTCACTTGAAAACATCACAAACGGGAGATTCAGCTGGGTTTAAGGTGAGTCTTTCGCAAAACCAAATTTGTTTGCAATTGAGTGTATTTCGCTAATTTCATACAATTTTGTTTCAAGTAGAACATAAGTTTG